CCCCCCACACTCCCTGTCACAATCCACCCCACCCCCCCGTTTTGAAAAGCACGTTGCAGCCACATGAATGCTGGGATAGCTGCCCATAATGCACTGCTCCCAACACAGCTGCAAATGTTACAAGTGTGGCCACACCACTGCGCTGGCAGCTGTCAGTGTAGAAAGACTGCAGCGCTTTTCCCTACTCAGCTGTACGAAGACAGGTTTACCTCACAGTGCTGTACAGCTGCAAGTGTAGCCAAGGCCAAAGAGTGATGTCCAAATACTGTGTTGTCTTAACACCTCCTTATCATCAACTGATCTTGTGCTACAACACAGACATCTTAGTGTAACATCAGAACATCCTGCCAAAACTATTTTGGCTCCGTTTTAGCTTTGCTTTAGTTTGGCTTTGTTTGATGTGAGACATCTAGAGGAACATTTAAGCAGATAAACACTGTATGAATAAGAACGATAAGGAAGCGATATAATATTTTTTTATTGGACCAACTTCTGTTGGTGAAAAGAGACAAGATTTCAAGTATACAGAGCTCTTCTTCAGGTCTGGGAAAGGTACGCAAAGTATCACAGCTAAATACAAGATAGAACAGATTATTTAGCAAAAATGGTTAACACATATTGTAAGAGACCATTCATAGTGAAGTGGACCCTTAACACCTTTACAATCATAGAGGTGATCCCAAAGATGTAGGATTAGTGGGATACAGATTGTTGTAATAAGCCATAAATCCAGTGTCTGTATCAAGACCATGATTTTTAATATCTAGCAAAGTTATGAATTTAAGCTCCCAGGCTCGTCTTTTGAGGTGTTGTGAAGGTTTCCTTTGAGGACGAGGACTAAAGAGGTCAGATATGGAGTGATCATTTTGTGAAAAATGTTCACCCACAGGTGATACGAAGTTTTTGTCTTTGATTATTTTTCTGTGTGAGTTTGTTTGAGAGCGTAGTGATTGTCTGGTTTCACCCAGTTGTTATTGTGGCATTTAGTGCACTGCATGAGAGATACCACATGTTGTGATAGGTATGTGTGGGACCCATGGATATTGAAAGGTGTGTTGTGGGGGGTATTCAATACAAAATTTAGTCTCTCTGATATCCTGGGACCAACATGGCTACAATAACACTGCAAACTGCATGAGTAAAGTACTAGCGAGCTGTTGCATTTTTCTCAGGATGCTTTAGTTAGATTTCAGATATGTTTTTCTCATTTTCCTGCAGGCTGCAAGGAACTGTTTAGTCAATACCAAGAACATAGTTAAAATATCTGACTTTGGAATGACAAGGTATGCAGCAATTGTGTATAACAACAGTATTGAATCTTAACTACACTGGGAATATTTTCAACTAGCAATAATGAGGCCTTGAATTAACCTCCTAGCTTGCAAAACTGCCAGTATCAGTTATTTTGCATGTAGGTACTGCCAATGGAATTGTCTCTCATCTCTTTGATTCCCTTGTACTTTGGTGCACACACTAAGGAGCACATTTTCTAAAAGTTACCTCTATTTGTGCATACATAGATCCCTGCATGTGCATTCTTCAAGCATTAATACTTTGCTCACAGGTATTATAATCTTTCAGCTGCTCATGCAGTTTAGTGTTGGAAAAGTGCATGTAATTGTGTTTGTGCACAGATTTGTGCACACACAAAGGTTGGGTTGAGGGCCCTTTTAAAATATGGGTTTATCATAGTGTCTGATACTAAAAGCTTCTAGCTAAGACAATCTTAGCACAGCACCTATGGGCTTGTCCAGTACACCTGGCAGGGCTGTTGCATGCACATCATAAAGGTTCCCATTCAAGCCTCATCTGCAAGGCTGTCTGTGGGGTGCAGGGAAGGTGGGTAGAGAGGAGCTTCTGCCAATCTGCCCTGGAAGAAAATTCCTTCCTGACCCCAAATATGGTGATCAGCTAAACCCTGAGCATGTGGGCAAGACTCACCAGCCAGACACTCAGGAAAGAATTCTCTGTAGTAACTCAGATCCCACCCCATCTAACATCCCATCACAAACCATTCGGCATATTTACCGCTAGTAGTCAAAGACGAATTAATTGCCAAAATTAGGCTATCCCATCATACCATCCCCTCCATAAACTTATCAAGCTTAGTCTTGAAGCCAGATATGTCTTTTGCCCCCACTACTCCCCTTGGAAGGCGGTTCCAGAACTTCACTCCTCTGATGGTTAGAAACCTTCGTCTAATTTCAAGTCTAAACTTCCTGATCGCCAGTTTATATCCATTTGTTCAATGCCAAGAGGATCCACTTTTCTCATGAGCTCCAAGGGTGCTGCTCCCTTTTGCCCCCCTTATCTCACCGCAAAGTTCATTGTCTGTTTCAAGAGCCAGGGAAAATGCAGACTCCATCCCCCATTGTGATTATTATGCAATCATTGCCCCTACTTCCTAGCTTGATGGCTTTGTTTACCTTATATTTAAATGCACTTTTCATTGTCTTTTGCCTGACATCAAGCTGATCAGACAAGTAAACACACATTCCTTTATCTAGGGCAGGCTTGGCTTATGTCCTGCCTGCCAAACACATTTTAAGAAAATATTTTCAGCACATAACTCTTTGTATGTACTCCATATATACAGTACACAATGATTTTTGGGATTAGCATGTTACCAGTTTGCATGAGATACTTAATTGACACCTTTTTGATACAGATTATGACAATGGTATGTTGGGGGTAAAGAATGTGTTAGGCCTCATGTGAGTTACAGTATGGTGTACCCTCTGCCAGTTGGCACTGCAGTGCTCCGAGAGGCACACGTTACAGCATTTAGAACAGTAGGTTCAAAATATTTTCCTTATCTACACTAATAAGCCAGTTAGCTTTACCATATCTTGCTTGCAAAGAGTACAGGGACTACTTCAAGTATTGCATAATCAGGGGAATTTAATTACACCTCTCCTGATGAATCTCATAGGCCAGGGGTGGCCAACCTGAGCCTGAGAAGGAGCCAGAATTTACCAATGTAGATTGCCAAAGAGCCACAGTAATAAGTCAGCAGCCGCCCATCAGCTCCCCCACCCCCCGTGTCTCCCACACACTGGCAGCCCTCTCCACACCTCCCGACATAGGCGCCGACTGCATGGGTGCTCTGGGGCTGGAGTGGGTGCTCCACACCCACCGGCAGCCAAGCTCCCCCCTCCTCACCTCTTTGCCCCCGCTCCAAAGCGTGCCACATCCCTGCTCCTCTCCCTCCCTCCCAGCGCTTCCCGCCTCCCTCCCCACCACCTAACAGCTGTTTGGCGGTGCTTAGAACTTTCCAGGAGGGAGAGGGAGAAGTGGGGATGTGGTGCGCTCAGGGGAGGAGGCGGAGAAGAGGCAGGGCAGGGGCAGTGACTTTGGGGAAGGGGTGGAATGGGGGTGGGAGGGACGAGGGCAGTGCAGGGGTGGGAAGAGGCAGTGCAGAGGTGGGGCCAGGGGGTCGAGCAACCACCGAGCGGAGGGGAAGTCGGCACCTATGCCTCCCGATCAGCTGTTTTGTGGCGTGCAGGAGGCTCGGGGGGGGGGAGGAGGGAGGAGCGAGGGCACGGCAGGCTCAGGGGAGGGGGCGGGAAGAGGCAGAGTGGGGGCAGGGCTTGTGGCAGAGCCAGGGGTTGAGCAGTGAGCACCCCCTGGCACACTGGCAAGTTGGCGCCTGTAGCTCCAGCCCTGGAGTCGGTGCCTATACAAGGAGCTGCATATTAATTTCTGAATAGCCGCATGTGGCTCCGGAGCTACAGGTTGGCCACCCCTGTCGTAGGCTCTATTGACACATATGTCCGTGTGCAATTCAATTCACACATTTAATATAAAGCTTTTTACTCACATGACTTATGTGTATATAATCTATGATATGATTTGGTATACATTATTTTCTAAGTGATTTTCACCATTTTATTTAAAGTCAATTACCAAAAAAGTGCTACTGTACTTCTCACTAATCTATCTGGGTATTTACATCATACTTAACTCTGTGGTATCTGAACACTTAATTAGCTGTGGCGGTAAACATGCAGAATTCTGCTGACAGAAAAGTTAAGCACACATGGCTAACAGTGAATCTTGTTTGAATTAATCCAGAGGTTTGACAGCAGGAAATCACAGATTACAGATTATGAAGCTGATTCTTCATTCATTTATGCAATTATAAATCATAGAATCATAGAATATCAGGGTTGGAAGGGACCTAAGGAGGTCATCTAGTCC